GCTCGATCGCTTAGCGGCTAACCTGGGGGGTATACTACGAAGCAGGATTTTCGTTTAGCAAGATAACTTCTGGGATTTCCGGTACTACGAAGCTGGTTCACTTTTTAGCGGGCTAGTATGGAAGCAAACAAGAGACAGAAGTATTTGAATTTTATTAGACACCGAATTTATAGCATTGAAAATAATTACTTTGAAAATCATTAATCTGAATTTGTTTTGCTCCGAATTTATCTATGTGAAATAAAAATGTAAAAATTCAAGTTAAAACAATTTGAATGTTCAAATTCAGATCCCAAAAATTCAAGTGAAAAAATTTCGACGTCAAATATTTCGGTGTTTAAAAGTCGATGTAAAAAAATTCGGTGTGTAAAATTCGACGTCAAAAATTGCGATGCAGCCTCATCCGGGCTACTCAGACAGGATAAGCAATCGAGCCCTAATGCAATCAAACCGACTTCTGGCCTATCAGAGCCAAGCGGCAAACCCCGGGACAGTGCGGTGAAGCCCAATGCTGCAAACTGTAGGCGATGGATGCAGATGGGAGCAATTCCCGTAGACCCTTTGTTAAAATGTCCAACTTAAAAAATGAACATGTTTCTAGCCTGGATCTACAAAAACATATTCTGTATATAGTTAGATTCCCCCTTCATGACAACGGGACTGCTGCTCCTAGCTCCTCTCTGCTAGCTCCGTTAGCTCCGTGATGCTACAGCGGCTCAGCTCATGAGGAGAACACTACTTGAACTCTGCCGTGTTTGTTGTGTTGGTTCCTGGTGGACTATTCGTCATGCAAATATAGGATTTATCTGCGGTTGAAACAGACCGTCCATGAATGCAGTTTCTTCGGTAAGTCAACCCTGCGTACTTTATGTTATGTTACTGGTGTTTTTATTAAGCTAACGTTAATGAATGTTTAGAGTTGGGGTAGCATTTGAGCAATCGTAGCTCCATCTGTGCTAACGATGCTATGCGTAGCATCCAAGAGTGTAAAACATTAAGTGGGATGCTACTGTATACCAAAGGCTTCTGTGCGAGGTTGCTAAAATAAGGTCATCTTTGTACGTTAGATAGTTAGTTTGCTATTTAGGTTACTGTATGCATTGTTAAGGTTCATTTAAATTCGCTATGCTCTACTATAGCATAAAATAGACTAGCTAACGTCAACGTATTGTTGAAGAGAGGCTTAGTTTATATTAAATCAACCTCACAATGAAATATGTGTATCTTTAAAATATGAACGTCACATTTCAAGATAATAACGCTCCCTTAGATATTGTAATATGGTTTGTTGAACTGGAGTTATTTATTGCAGCTAACCGCCTATCCGACGAACGACCCAAACATTGTTGTTTTTAATATTATTACCAATGCCTCTTTTAATTGTATTATCATCACACTTGAGAAACAGCCTTATCGTGGCTGTACAACGGAACATGTAACTTAATGCCTGCATTTAAGGACGATGAATAGCGTAGTCAATGCTTTAGTGACAAGGAAATGATTTGTTTAAATATGATATATAACGTTATCTGTGACTTCAGTGGAAATTAAGCTTATCCATTGCATTGCATTTGTTCAATAGGTTTGTGTCTTACCCTTACGTGTGTGATACATATGAATATGGCATATGAAAACAAATTAATTTGACTGACTCATGAAAACCTCATCCAAAGTAACAGTAAAATAAAAAGGACCTACACAATAATACTCAATCAAACTGATACAGTATAAGGACTGTGATATCCAGCCATTTCTTAAGTATAACAATAAGATTATGACCTGTTTTTAAAAGAAGATAACAAGTTGTTTGCATGGAAAGAAGTCTGTAACCCATGCATGTAACTTTACATCTGTTTGTTCAAAGTCTCCTTAAGGTGATCCAGACAGGCTGGACCAGAGGAGGAGAGACAGATCTGGAGTCCTAGCAGCAGAGAACTTCAGCACGGATTCCAAGGTACACCTTTTTCATACTTTACAAAGAATGCATAAAGTAATGACTCCAATACACTGATATACATGCCATTAAACATGGCTGAATACTAGATCCCCTGCACATCAGTGATGTTGAGTGGAATTTATTAGCAAAAGGTTACATTTACATTTTACCAAGCAACATCACATAGTGAGAGCTGCGACCCTTTGTCTTTCAGTGAGACAACAGAGCAAGCTTCCACAGTTGCACTAAGTTTTGATAACAGTTAAATATTATTTTAATAATACATTTATTTCAATGTTGATGAATTTAGAACGGTTTATTCATAATCTGATTATCTTTGTAGTACACATTCAAATAAAAATAAAATCATTATATTTATAGCCCCTGAAGAAACAAACACACCTCTTTCTTAAATAACACACTTGCTCTGCAATAATATGTTTTTTGATATTTCTGTTAGGAAAGGACACGCCTGAGAGACAGGACTGCTTCACCATGTTCTCTTTCTCTGAGGGTCCAGAAGAACATCCAAGAGGGAAAGGAGAAGCTGATGTGATGAGATTTAAGAGCAGTACAGGACATTAAGAGACAGAGAATAGTTTTGTAGTCCAACAGGAACTTCATTTGTGTGTTGTTTTGTGTTTTACGTTGCACCTCAGAAACAGTGTGATTATTGTCAGGCCTATAAAGTTTGGCAAAAAAAAAAGAGTCAGCTGATCAAATGCATTTGCCTCACTTTATGAGCTTCATATCACTTGTACCGCGGAGTTTGGAACGTCATAAATAAATGGTACCAATCTTCAGTCAGATGTGAATGTGTAATCTAACATTTTCAGCAAGAATAACGGACAAAAGGAGTGCAAATACAATTTATTGAAATGTGAACTAAAAGTTATCAAGCATGAACCATCACCATTTTTTTTTTAAAATAAAAACGAAATAATATACATAAGTTACACTCAATGTTAATCTGTTAATTGACAGGCTAGGCCTGTGCAGGTGATAACAGCTATGCCCAGCATGGGCTAAGTTCTGTAGGTGCAGCTGGTGCAGGTCCTCCTCCATCAGGCCTGGTCCTTCTCCCTCAGGCCTGGTCCTCCTCCCTCAGACCCTCAGCCCTCTCCGGCCAAACCAACAGACAGGACGTTCATAAAGCTGAGGTTTCCCCCAAAGTCTCTAATCATCCATCCTGTGAATATGAGAGGGGAACAAAATTGTGTAATAGTCTTTGAATTTCATGCAAAGCTATATAAAAGTCCCATGTATTATTATTATTATTATTATTATTAGATGCTTTGGACAATAATAAATATAAAGTTAACTGTTGAGTTGATCAGTTTTTTAGATTGAAAGGGTTTAATAATACAAACAAAAGGAGAGGCACCGTAAAATAAAGATTGGTTTTTCAATAAATTGTGTTGATTTTGTCTTTTGAATTCTTTGTCTAAAGTCAAGTAGCTAGAACTGTTACTTATAGTTTGAATGATAGTCTGGTTATAATGTTTGGAGGAGGCATCACAGGTAAGAGCACCATTTGTTGTGTTCCATCCACAACAGATTAATGTGTGTGTATTTATTTATTTACTACCATGGTCTACTTGACCTATCTAACCGAAGTGATCGTTACGTTACTTTGCAAACCGTCACCCCCCCCTCACACACACAAAAGGACACGGTAACGTTGTGATTCACTTCAATTAATGATAACTACGGAGCTTGCTAACAACAAGGCTACTTCACTCATTTAGCTAGCTAATGTAAGATACAAATGCTGTCGAGCCCTCACTGCTTGTAAAATAAAGAGCACAAACTGACAACTTACCCGAGCGGCGAGCCCCGCTGTTCTCCGTCATTTTTCTCCCGGGTTGTTGTGATCACATGACTGACAAAGCCGTGCTCTGATAGGCCAAGTCAGTTTGATTGCATTAGGGCTCGATTGCTTATCCTGTCTGAGTAGACCGGATGATGCTGCACCGCAATTTTTGACATCGAATTTTATACACCGAATTTTTTGACATCGAATTTTTTGACGTCGAATTTTTGGGATCTGAATTTGAACATTCGAATTTTTTTCACTTGAATTTTTACATTTTTATTTCACATAGGTAAATTCGGAGCAAAAACATTCAGATACATGATTTTCAAAGTAATTATTTTCAATGCTATAAATTCGGTGTCTAATAAAATTCAAATACTTCTGTCTCTTGTTTGCTTCCATAGGCTAGATCTCCATGGTGACTTATCCTGGAACCTAGTCTGTGCTCCGAAGCAGGATAGGTTCCAGGATAAGAGATCAACTCAACGAAAGCACCACGCCTGCTGACCAATCAGAGCTCAGTGTGCGGAGGAAATACAGTTTAAACTGCCGTTGCAGGAAAGACAGCCGGCCAAAATCACCGACTGTGTGAACGTGAAAATGAATAGAACATCACCTCCCATCTTCAGAGCAATCTGACTATTATAACTATTATACTATTATGTTAAGAAAGCTTAATTAAATATCTGCCACAACATAAGTAACCGGATCAAAGTAACATTACGTTGCCTACAGTCCGCGCACTGTGAGTGCAGACGTCGATGTGTCCATTCATATCACATCATAATGTATCATATATCTCCTTATCTGAGTCAGCTGAGCCGTATCTGGCCGTGCAACACTCACAGTGTCACATACTGTATGCAGAAGTATTATTTTAAGCAACACATTAAGTTGACGAAACACTCGAGACAAATGTAATGAAAGTCAGATCGTGTCTTAGACGGGGCAGTGATATCATAAACCTGCATGGGCGTAGCCACCATTATATGAGGGTGGGACAAGTCCCCCCCACTTTTTGAAATGATTAGTTTAGACCCCCGCACTTTTACCATGTGGAAAGTCCGTGAATCGGTCTATCCATTCGCTGCACTTTGTAGAGCGCTGTGTCAGTGCTTCACTATCAAATCCATTCCACTTGTTTATTGGAAGAATGCCCAAATCAATGAAACTCCGTACCATGTTTTCACTGCTACTTTGCACCAAGGCAGATTCTTCCATAGCGCGCGCATGTTCAAGGAGTGTTGTCATAGTTGGACAGCTCAGATCTGTTGTATGAAGCGATGCCGGTAGCGAAGGTAAGGCACACACACCAAGTGTTCAGGACACTGTTAATACAGCGAAAATCAAAGCTGACGATCTCTTGGTTTGATATGTTTTCTCCCCCAGACAACATGAACATGAGAACATTTTTTTCAAAGAAGAGGAAAGTAAGTCTTCAGCTGGTAGCAGTTAATCAGTTAACAGTGATGGCGGCGGGGGCAAAAGCGTCTCACTTCTGGAGAGGAGTTTCATCTTTATGTCATGATAGAGAGATACAAATACTGAATAGTTTAGATGAGAAAAGGCATCAAAATGCCAGGTTACTAGTATTTATCATGTAAACAGGGAACAAGAATAACCCGATCTCTCTGTGCTCATGTAAACACCATGATGTAGAGACGCAGTCAGTGTGTTTTACTGGAGCCTCAGTTCGATAAGAGATTATTTTCTGAGTTCTTTAACTTAGGTACTCTCTCTCAAAATGGTAATGTGCATTATGTTTTAATTATACTTCTTATCATTCAGAAGCTTTTTGTGTGTGTTTATGTTTTACTGAGTGCTTATAGGCCATTTCCATCCCAGTATTCAGTTAACTATTTATTTTCTGTGCACATTACATTGACTAGCTAATATTCTACCTTCTGCTTGGGACTTTGAGTCTTCAAAATGTCCAATGTCACAGACTGGGACTTACTTTAGAGTCAGTTGTATTTACATTCAGTATGACTTGTTATGATTCAATGTGAAAGAGTATACTGCTCAATAAATAGTGATCACTTCACCACCTCTCTTGACATCTAGGCGCTTGAGAGTGAGTCAGATGCAGAACACAGGGACAGTGGAGAGAGGTTTGTTGCTGAGGTGAGTGATGAAAGGGAAATGACAGTTTAGAGTAAATTGTGATGTGGACTCTCATCCCAGAATGTTAAGGAAATCAGTGGGGATATTGAAAAGGAAACATTTCAGTCAAGGGGCATCATATGACCAATATAGACAGAAGAGCAACATTTATTTGAACATTTAAGTCAATGATACCATTCCTAGGTGAACTTAACATCTGTATGGAGTCAGATCAGTCTCAATATTAATAAATGCTCACAGAAGGATTCACAAATGTATTTTGCGATTTATATATAAATGACTCTCCACAACAATATCTCTCAATGCACTCACAAATATTTATTGTTGTATATAAATGTACAAAAAATGGGCATTTAAACTGCTTTTTATTAATTCAAAGACGGCTCTGAATTAATAATCAAATATGTTTCCTTTCTTTACTACTGGATGAAATTACAAAATGTACCCATCATTTTCCTCATGCTAGTATAGCCTCATAAAAGTATCAAACCACCTGTTAAAATGCACCAGAATACAGGAAATCTATTATTTTTTTTCGTGGGGGGGGGGACCCCCACACTCCCCGTTAAAAATGTCCCCCCCACATTCAGGATGCTTCCTACGCCCATGTGTTAATGTACGCATTCAAACACTTGTTCTGTTACCAGCTGTATTCACCTTGCAGGTGCAGCTATGTGGCTTTGATCCTGGATAAAGTGTTTAAGTCATGGATGTTTAAAGTTTAACTTCTTCATATGTCTAATATTAAAGTTCACTTTTCATTCAGGAAGTATGACGCTGCGCTGTCAGTACGCTTCTCCATGTTTGTGATTGGTCGAATGCTCCAAATACCACCCCTTTCATGTGAACGCGCACCTAACCAGATAGGACACGGCTGGCTTGAGCGATCCACTTGATAACCCGCGTCGTAGGACCGTTTAGCGAGAGCGCGTATGTTTTGGATTAGGCCAACCGGCTAACTCAAACATATCCAGGTTAGGTTGAACTGGCTTCGTAGTCCAGGCCCCTGTTGTGACAGATCCTTGTAAACCAGAAACACGTCAAACCAGTTCTGTCTGCAAGTGTTGTGACTTTGGGTGACTGGAAACAAAGAGAAAAGAGTCAGTGTGGGAATAGGTCATCACAACAGAGATAGGAACCACACAACACATTTCCTATGTGTTATCATTCGATATGTTTCTGCCCCAAGATAAACATGTGTAACTGTTGTTCAAATACAGATGAATCTGTCAAAACAGGTGTTGCTGCTGTGTTTGCCTGATTGGTGCTGATTCATGTGGGGAGGAAATGGGACCTCTGCTGGTTTGTTTGTGGGAATTTAAATCATACCACATCTATATGGAACCTTTTTATAGCACATTTCATCTGCAAAGCTTAGAAAATAAATCAGGATATTTAGTTATTTAGTAAGACTAATAAATAAAATAATGTTTAAACATTTAAAAACCGGGTGGATAAAGATAAACTAAAACCAAACCACACTTTTCTACAAAGGTAAAGTAGTCAGTTAGTTTACAATTATTTTCTTAGCCACAATCCTTTTGCATTTATATTTAATCAAACATCTGAAATCAACTTAAAAATCTCTTTATTCTCATAGAAACTTCTATTGATCCAATTCAGTAAGATACAGTATATAAAAGAAAAACTGCATTGGACACAAAGGCATTATTGCAACTTTATTGGTCATTGTTGTATCACAAAGGTATTGTCTTTTTTGGGGATTTCTTATTATAACTCTTCCAGTTTTGTATCAAAGACAGTCACCGATTAGCATTGCATTCACACATCATACTGGGGTGCAGCTAAAAGGCTGCTATTCATTCATGTGAGTGAGAGGGTCAGTGCAGAGGAGGGGGACAGGGACAGTGTACGAGCTAACGTGTGTTTAATCATTCCGACGGATCACACTATCTAACATCAGCGAATCCTAGATAAGGGCTCAAAACATGTTAGTCATGTCTGGAAACTGACCTGAGAAGGCCATAATATTACAATACATTAACATAAATGGGACATCACTATGAATGTGAAAATGTGTGAAATACATGTGCAACAGTATAGACAAAACCGATATAAAAGATAATCCTTACCAACAGTTTACCATAGAGTCAAATATTGACCTGATAAAAGATTCTAAATTGAGAAAAATCATCCTAGTTCAGTGGAAAAATACAGTGAGTCAATATGATGATATCAAAAAGACAGGAAAGGAAAACAGGTAAAGAGGTAAACTGGTTTGAAAAATCAACTGTGAAGTAAGATAAGGTACAAGAGAGGCAGTGAAAAAGCACAGAGTCATTGAGAGATTATTTGAAGCGCTTTAGTTTTCTCTCCCTTTCATCTCGACTTGCTCCCCTGGAGCGGATGGGGGGAGTTGGAGGGGTGTCGGTGCCTCCCAGCCAGTCCCAATGAGAGAAGAACGGGGCGAAGTGAGTGTTGGGCCGCCGGTGGTGAGCATCATGCTTGGGTGCGCCGCCCCAGAGGCCAAAGGGCACCACGTTATTCATGGACCAGGGGAAGTCGTAGCCGCAGTGGTCCTCGGTGGAGATGTAGATGTTGAGGACCATGAAGCCCCATGTTGTGAGGCAGTGGCACTGCAGCAGGAGGGGGTCAATTGTGGTCCAAAACCCCACGCTGAACAGCTCCCAGCCGGACATGTACTGTGTGACGAGGCTGAAGGGCTGGTGGTAGCGGTGGTGCACGGCGTGGAACATGTGGTACAACCATGGAACCCGGTGGTGCAGGAGGTGCCACAGGTAATACTGGGAGTCAAAGACAATCATGCAGGCAAAGATGCCCAGGAAGAAGCTGCAGAGAGTGGGGGCCTCGCAGGGCAACGGGACGGGGGGTCTCCACAGCCACTGGGCAACAGCAGCGGGGAAGATGTAGAGCAGATGGTTGTAGATGGTGACACCCAGAGTTGTCCAGATGTCAGGCCAGGTGACCGGGGTGTCCGGATGGAGCCTGTAGCGGTTGATGCATGGCCAGGTGGGGGCCAGCAGGTCAAGCATGGTGTAAAGGCTAACCACCAGGAAGTAAGTGGTGATGGAGAGGACCACGGGGAACAGAGGGCTGGCCAGGAGATCGCAGTGGTTCTGTTGGAGGTAGTCCCACGCAGGCTGCAGGAACACACCATTGGACTGCCAGCTTGTCCCGTTGTCCTCATCTGACACACAGGATAAGGTTCTGAGTAACCTACCTGTGCTCATCACTAACCCGTCTTTCAATTCCAAAATAAAAGCAAATTTGAGGGTCTAAATGAACAGAATGATCCAATCAGCTTCCTCGGATAGTTTAGCTGTGCCAAATGGGACTTGCGGACTGTCTTAGCCTCTTATATGTTCAAGCCCAACCTCCGCTCCCCCCAAACTCCCCGTTTCTTAAAAGAAGGCGCTCTTTAAAGACCCTTTTTCATGGGCACAAAGACCCCAGCCAGGACTCAGGAGCGGGGCCACAGCAGCTCTCATTTCTGTCCCAAATCCTGGAGAGAGGGCTTCCGTTTACTTGTGATGTTGATTATGATGTCTTGGTCACGTAGAAGTATAGGAGTTGTGTATTTGATTAGATGTTATAATGAACTAAATTAATACATCACACATTAAACACTAAGTTACATAGTCTCAGCTGCATGTTGAAAAGCAGCCTGTTAATGTTTATTTCTCTATCATCCTCATATTAAAAACACACGCACGCTCACGCACGTACATGCATACACTTAGAGTCAGAACATGTGCCCAAAAGAGTAATTAATCATTAAGCTGTCAAAGGAGACATGAATTCAAAAGCACTTTGTTTCTGGTGGTGGATGGTGATTGGCTGACTGCTCAGTTTGAGTTTGTTTACAGAAATAATAACATCTCATTGATGAAAACTAAACTGGCTTCTGTTTCTATGGTGTGACGCAATCATTTTAAGAGAGCTGATAGCCATCTGCTTCTTATTTAGACATTCGTCATTTGTATTCTAAAATGGGCCATTCTGTATAATGAGTAATATGAATTGTTCTCATACACTGTAGCATTGCTACTTTTACATAATTGACATTAGTTAGATAACAATGTGAGTGCTTTTTCCAACACTTATGAATAAACAGAAATTGAACTTATGACTATACTAAAATAAAGAATCTTTTTATTTTACAGTTTAATTAGTGCAATGATGCAAAATATTGAAAGATTTTCAAACGGTTCTCAGAAAACAATCAAATACAATAAAACATTTCAGAAAACAATTTCACCACAATAGGGGATTTTAAAGCTATTCTGGAGCTGGCAGTGATAATAACCTAATTTCATCAGCAGATTGAGATTTGCTTTATAGGAAAGGTAAATGTCCATTTGTCCATAATGCCATGAATACAAAACAGACACAAAAGTTGAGAACTACATTTAATCATGATAAATACAATTGCATCATTGCGGGTTTGTTGCAATATACGTTTTTCACAGAGAGGAGCATTCAAAGTCTGTGTGGACATTAGTCACAGACTTATAACTAAAAGGTATTTTAGAGACAGGATACAAAAGTAGTGTGTGCAGTTACAACAGTGGGGGAACACAAACTGTATGACCAGCACACTTTCTGATGCCACTGATCAGCCAATAGAGGGCAGTACAAATCCATTCTTCACCAAAGACACAGCTACAGATGACGCATGAGAAGAAATGCAACTGGATTTGAAAATAGTTTTACCAGTCTTACTCTAAAGACAAGGTATAGAACCCAACATTGGGTGCACTGAGGACATTTCTTCCTCTTTTTCACAGCCACTATGCTGGTTACAATATATAACCAATCAATAACATATTTGAAGAGTCAAAATGCAAAAGGCCTATTAGATTACCGAGGTCACTGATTAATTGACAACATAGTGAGATTTGCTTCAGGCTCAAAGTCAAATTAAACCCAGAGGAAAAACTGTCAAAGTCACAGTCCAAAATTACTCATGTATAAAAACTGGCCACTGACTTATTGACTCCTAAGATACAAAAGTATTGACCATTTTTAAAACCGAGTACGGCTGTTTGCACATTGTCAAAAACAATAAGAAGAAGTTGCTTTTATGCCTGTTTGAGTCGATAAAGACGATCACAAACCTACTTTTGGTTTTGTGTTACCACCTACCAGACAGTTGTTGGTAGAGAAAATGAGAAGTGGAACCCTCACATCACTAACATGTAGTACTTGGTGTCTGAGGAGACAATGACAATGTGTGAGAGCCTCCTCCATTCGATCCCGAGGGAGAGCACACATCTGGAGACCTGCTACCATCATCTACAAATATCACCTCACTTTCTGGCTGCTTGCTTGACTGGCTTGTATGGTTTGTTATTAAAAACACAATGTTCTGTACTGAAGAGTAATCACATTCAGTGTATATTGCCCTTTTTGTTTTTACAAACATGAAAGCAATACATTAAACATAAAATAAAAAAGACACGGATCCTAATACAACACATCCAACTATTATAAAAAATAAAAAAGGCCTTTATCACACAATATTCATATTTATTTAAAAAAGGTAAGTCAAACTGGTTCAGACAGTGAGAACACTTCCTGCAGCTGTTTATACTGATCATGACAGGGTGGGAGTCACAGTAAGTTAACATTTAAATATATATATTAATTGTTCATAAACCGAATAAAACAACTAAATAATAAAGTTATTTTACTTGTACTGTAGAGCTTGATTCAACTCCATTACAACAACAATCATACCTTAAGTGTCTTTTACCTGCATTATTTAGTTGGAATAGTATGTTCTTCTACGCACACATTCTTTATTATTATTATTCCGCCGGGTTTTTTGCGCCTCTTCTGCTCCCACATTCCACATCACAGAAACTCCGTTCAAACATCAAAACGTTCAGCTCGATCGGGAATCAATGGCTATTACTTTTCTCATTCATAACTTTCATAATTCCAGAGATATATCCCATAATTCATCACATTTTTAACATGGAAGTCAATGGAGAAACTTTTCAGACTTCAACAATCTTCAACTGCTAACTGCTCCTTCTTCAACTGCTAACTGCTCCTTCATACTTTCACTCAGAAACCTCATTCCAACTTTAAATTGTTACACATCTTGTGTGATGGAACACGTTGATGTCATAACTCCAACTGACGCCAGAAAACATCACATGATGGTTAACACTGTGGCCCTGAACAGCTCTACATCAAATCTGATGTTATGTAATGTGGTGTTACCATGGCAACGCATCCCTCGCCATAAAACACGATGTCGCTGTAACTCCAATGGACACACGGTCCAATCGTCTCCCACTCTTCACTTGTATATCACCGGTCCAGGCCTCAACGGCTCTATGCCAAATCTGAGATCACACCATATGCCGTTTCCATGGAAACGCATCCCTCGCCTTAAAACACGATGTTGTCGTGATACCTATGCAAAACAGCACCAGACTTCAGATGATGGTGAATGGTCCGGCCCTCAACAGCTCTATGTCAATTATGGGGTGTCATCATATGCCGTTTGCATGGAAACGCATCCCTCGCCATGAAACACGATGTCGCTGTAACTCCAATGGACAAGGTCCGATCGTCCCCAAACTTCGCTTGTATATCTCCGGTCGATGCCTCAACAGCTTTACGCCAAATCTGAGATCTCACCATAGGCTGTTTCCATGGAAACGCATCCCTCGCCAAAAAACACGATGTTGTCGTAACTGATATGAAAATGGTCAAAAAGTGCAAAAACTTCACACGTGTGCTAACAGTCCAGCCGTGAAGACATCTACGGGACAGTTTTTAGATTTCTTCAAATGCCGTTGCCATGGCAACACAATGCTCGCCATGAAACATGGTTTTCTCATAACTTCCGTGAAAATGCTCCTAACAGCCCAAAACTTCACAGGTTTGGTAACGATGCAGCCATCAACATATCTAAGCATATTATGGGGTGTCATCAAATACTGTTGCCATGGCGCCATCAAGTTAGTTCAATAGTTTGCAGTTCAAATATTCTGCTGCTTTTCCAAGCTTTTTTACTTTCTTTTCTTCTCTTATCACACATTCAAGCCCCCAGTGTTCATGTATCATTTCAATCAAAATTCTTCATTTTCTTCTTACACATTACATTTCAGCATAGCAGTTCAGCATCAGCTTTTCAGCATAAAGCATTCCCACTAGCAATATCTTCAGGAATTGCATTTTCTAGTTGTTTAACTATTGTGCAAGAGATGGATATGGAGCCATGGACAGAGAAACAGAGTTGTGGAAATGGCTCTGCCTATATTATTTCAGTATACTTCTGTCTTTGTGTAAGGCTATTTGAAGCTGTGTGACAGCATGTGTGAACATCACTTTAGGTATGAAAGGAACAGGAACCGGTGCAGGTCAACACAGAGCCTGCTGTCAGCACAGCAGAGGAGTGTATGAGAACCTGAGAATAGAGAGTCAGTCTGAGACCTGCTGCAGGTTTGATCTCACACAGTGAAAAAAAGTGTCTCCCCTGTCCTCTCCTGCAGGGGGTGTGTGAACCTGATTGGTGGCACCTGGCACTGCTGGCCTTCACCAAGCTTTCAAATATCAGCCACCTGCTGTTGTCTCTCTACTGGGCTCCACATCTCCAGTTTTAGGTTTGATACTCACTCTTCTTCCCGTTCTACACCTTTCCTGGGATACATTTGTTTTGTTTTAACAGGCAGTACTCAGGACGTTTGTAGCTTTGAGCTAAATGCTAACAGTAGCACGCTAATATGCTAATGTTTAATAGGTGGAATGTTTACCATGCTCACCATCTTATTTTGGTGTGTTAGCATGCTAGCATTGGCTAATTAGCAGTAAACAAAAAGTGGAGATATTGCTGTTTGGCATGGCATTATTAGTTTCAGGTACTTGGTGATAAGCTAATAAACCAGTAGCCAGGTTATTAAAAGTTAGATAATCACCAAAGTGAATTATAGGCCTAATGAACATCCATACTAACTGTTGAGATATAGAAACAAAATGCAAACATTTCACTTAAAACTAAAAGGGACACCTATTGTACTAACAAGTATGTAAGAATGATGGCCTAAAAGGCAAAGACAGAAGTGCAGAAAGTTAACAGTTTAGTCATTTGATTAACTTCAAAATTCAAAAATGTAGTTAGCTATTACTGAATACAAATGTACTCATTATAAATGTGTTGCTTGTGTTGCAGCAGGAAAAGGCTTAGGTGCAAACAAAATATATAGGCTATGGTCTATTGTTTTTGCAGTGACATTGAAGATGCTGCAGAGGACCTGAGGGTCCACGAGGGGACAGGAAATTATGCTCCATGATCATCTTTCAAGGTAGGAGGCAAGCGTTTCGTCACCTTGAAGATCTCTAGGACGGCTTTACAATGCATATTTTTCAAAAGACACAGGCTCCCACATGCAAAACAAATTAGTTTTCTCTCAAAATATTGAAATGAAATGAATGTAGAAAGGAGTCTTGAGTTTTATGTATACCGTTTGAGGGTATACATACTCAGATTAATATTATAAACATGTCTTTCATTTAACTGAGACTCACCTGCGATAATATTTGTTTAGAAACTATAAACTGCTGGTGAATTGCACATTTTTTGCTATTGTCTTAGTTGGGAATTATTGTTTTAAAATGATTTGAAAACCTTTCAGTGTTGGATGTGGTGTTTTAATGGATGACTTTCCTTCCAACAGTCACTATTAGCTGCTGTGATGGGAAAATGTTTCATCATTTTAATAAATGGAAACCTATTTTTTCCTTTGCAGTGGCTGCAAGTGGAAGAAAAGCTTTGGTGACACCTGATAACTAATGTCCCTCAGGAGTAGTCTTCGGGGGCTGAGGGCTGATCGGAGTGTTATTCTCCACTGGCAGGTATGACTCAGTGATGGAGGAGGGACTATGTGTGTGAGAGCGACCGTAGGACACAGAATGACCAAGGATGCCGTTGCTAAAAATAATCCGTACAATGGAAATATGAGGAGTTTGAGTTGTAAAATGGGAATGAGAGAATGGTTGCTTGCTGGCAAGCAATGCAAGTCACTACGAGTTATATTTATTTGACTGATATGAAGTGAAACCAAGTCTGCCTAAGAAGAAAACACAAAAGACTCTTTGTCGGGTAAAGTACACACAACTCAAAATCAATGGACTATAGATGTGGCCATTGGGAAACATGTCTTCTAGAAATGAACTTTTTTAACTAATTTGCATCATGTGAAATATGTTTTAGGAGAAACACAAATAATTTTTGAGGAACATGATGTCTAGTGACAACATATTTTATTTTCACTTAGAAAACACAGTAGCTGATTGCTTATCTGGCGTAGATTTTTCCTTATTGAGTTCAACGGTTGTTATCTTTGGTCCTTTCCTTTTGGTCATTTTGTGTAGTAATGTTTACATTTTTTGCAGTCTGGTTAAAATACAAAAAAAAAGAGATTTGATGCATGAGAAACAATGCGTTTCCAAATGTACCTATAATAAGAGATTTACCTGAAATAACATTATTTCCCAAACCAAGTTTATTTGTTGCATACACCTTATCACACACTCTTTGGCATCAAGGTCCTTGATGTTTTACGACAACCATCGGCCAGACCACCATCTTTTATAAAAAATAAATAGTTGCCACCTAATGAAAACCAAGCAACTATTAAGTTTCCTTCCTTTCCAAAACAATGTAATTAGACAGAGTTGGGCAAGGGATGCTAACAATTCCCTTCCTTATTTGTCTTTACTATTCCCTAAAGCGGAAATAGTAAAAATGCATTGTGTTGACATTTATAGTACACTAAAATATCCCCATATCTCAGTGTGACTCTTCACATCGTTGTACTGATTTATCACTGCAATATCAAATCAAATGCATTTTAATTCAAGCTACTTTCCCACACTGTAGATAAGGCTATTGGGTGACTGATTTAAATTCCTAATTTACATTTATTTCAATTAATATATTTCCCCAGTGTTGGTTCCCATTAACCATTCCTGAAGATGACACATATCAGGCCAGGCATGGAATCATTCAAAGATGTGTGTAAATGTGCTTCTAGCATTGTTACGAACACATCAAAGAATCTTCCTTAAAGATGAATATACGTAGATCTCTTAACACATCCTCCTTTGAGGAAGTACTGCTGGAGTGACTTCAGGGATGTAAGGGATGCAGACAGGTGTGAAAGCCGTTGCATTGCCGATGAACTCCCACGGGGTTTCAGGGTTACACTGGTACAGGCTTTGTTTTTCACTTAACAGATTTAGACCTGGAAAAAAATACAGTTACCATGGGCGTCTCACCTGTGGAATTAATTATCGGCGCAAAGATAGGGGAAGGCTCTCTAAGCTTCTGCTCATTTCCTCATAAACAAGCTCCACTGCAACGTCTCTCATCTCATCTGTTCAGGACTCTAACCAGGTAAGGACACCTCTCACATGGACATTTTTGTTTCTTACTGTATTGAAGTATTAGTTTATTATATTAAAATCGATGACATTTTCATTGTCAGGAAGCTGCAATGCCGAGCCAGCTGGAGGGTGCAATGGATGCACTGATAACGGTTTTCTACAACTACTCCGGAAGCGATGGAGACAGATATAAGCTCAACAAGGGAGAGTTGAAGGAGCTCCTCAACAGCGAGCTCACCGACTTCCTCACGGTTAGTGGACATTTCAACATCTATAAGGAAGTTGATTTCATTTATTGTTTATTTAAATACAATTAGTTTAAAAAAGGGATACGCTTATAACCTACAAGTACTAAATAATAGCTTGGTAGGATCCTTTAAAAAATAAATAATGGTAGAAGTTAGTTGTAGGCCTTTTGCTCTGCCCATGTCATTATCTTTTTTGCTTTACAAAAATGAAGCAGGGGAAGTAAAAGAGCTTCATTACATGTCAGATGACAAAAAAAATGCAGTTATTAGCTGTTACTTAAACTGGCTGAATTATTTGAATAATACTGCGTTAAGCATTTTGCTCTGTTTGCTAATATATTTATTCTAATTAGCAACTTGGTGACTTTAATTATGTTGATTTTTCCAAAACATAATCACATTAATTCCTTGTGCATGTTTAAATAGTAGGGTTAATCATGATGATACCTTTTTTTTGTGTGGGAGTGCTTTCTTGACAAATACTTGCTGTAAGTTACTCTCACATACAATGCCATAGTCGTATTGGAACTAAAGAGAAACATAACAAAGTTTTAGCATAAAGCTTCAGTCAGAGCAGACCCGGCGTCATGGGCGTCATCCGCCCATCCAGGATTTGGGCCCGCCCATCCAGGATTTAAATCAGGGCTGAATACAACATTTTAATTGTTTTATTATTATGTTCAGTGGCGGCGCCAGGGTATATCGGGGTAGGCTACAGCCATACTAATAAATGGCTTAGCCCCACCATGAAAAATGATGTTAAAGTAAGCAAAATAAAGCCTGCCAACTTGCGCGGAGTTAATTGCACAGACAGCAGTTTGTAAGATTGATTTCAGTAGTCACTTGTCTGGAAATACCGAAGACTAGAAACGGTTTTGAAAACTTTTGTCACGTAGTGATCGTCTTCTCAATAGAACATCTTTGATAATGTTTTCTGGCCAATCAGAATCAAGATAACGGCGTGGTGTTGTTGCAGGAAGTCCCGACGGAGAATACTTTTGTGGTAGTACATCTCTATATACATCGATACAACATTACGTGTTGATAGAAATCAACACGTAATGAAATAAGACCCCACGGTTTGATGATTGATAGGTGTGTGGGCTGTCTTTCATTTTGACACAGAACAATGGGGGCTATCCACCCTTATCCACAATGTAAAGTAATTCACAGCCTCTTCCCTCTTCAGTGAGGAGCAGCAGGTTCAGCTTTCAGAACAAAGTAACAGAAAACTAAAATGGCATTCATTTTTTAAAATATGTCGACAATTCAGATTTCCGGCAGATCTCTTCCGGCAGAGTCAGAGACTGATTTATATAGCATTTATTTTTCTTGCAGTGTTAAAGGACACGTGACTCCAGATTCATTCAGATATTTCTTAGCCTATCCCCAGGAACGTCATCTCATTGGAAGTGTGTTGGATCACCAAAGTGTGGCCTTTACATCTCCTTAATTTCCCCAGTGGATCTATAGTGACCAATGGACGATGCTTCGCTGTTGCTGACTCGCTTTAAAGTTAAATGAAATAACCATGTTTTGTGAGGTTTACAGAGGAGCATTGTGACCTTGTCTCAGGAAATTGTTTTCTCATTGATTGCTATCCTGCTGTCAGAGTAACACTGCTGCTGGCTCTCACGTCATGGCAGCGTGCAAAATAAAGGATGTGCAGCGGGAGATAGATGAGGTCATTTCAGATAAGCCCCGGCCCCTGGGTCCGTGTGATAGCCGCCTGTACCAGATTTCACATGATTGAGACCAACACAAAGCGGACGAGGCCTGAGAGTCAAACCTCCGATGTCTTCAGATAGATTTTTTATTTCCACTTCTGTTCCTCCCTCATGCGGTTGGCGAGCCTCAGGTGCTCACACATCAACATCAGTGGCCCGTATCGCCTCCAAATATAGACACCGCCGTGACGTCACCACCACATCCCCTCGGGCTACATTCCCCCCTGAGAGCAGCCAAACATTTGAACTCAGTTTCCTCTGACAGAAAACACTGACACTCCCACACCAAGGCTGGATGCATCACTGTATATTTATTAGTTTAGAAATGACTGGGTGTCTTTAAAAAGATGCTCCCATGGCAGGCTATTTTACTTTTTCAATAATTTTTCATCATTATTTCAATTTGAGTTTAGATCAAGTTGGCTCTCGGTTCAGGACTGGTATCTTTAATATCATTTAATTTAATTTTACAACTATTGTTTTTATTCATTCAAATATTTAATATTAAAGAATGTGTCCAACTTTCTTTTATTTATCAAGTGTCTCTCTTAAAAGATGATAATAAACATGTTTTTTTTACCATTTTGTTGAAATATTTCCACAAGGCTAAATGGAAATGAGATATTTTCGACAGAGCAACATAGATGAAAAATGTTGCCATTAATTAATTTTGTATTCTATATATATTGGAATATACTGTATAAGTATACACATTATATATAACAATCTGAAACAGTCAATCTTCTTATAGTTGTCCAAAATGTGTTTTGATAGGCTATTTTTATTTTTATATTTATTATTTTACTTAAGGAGAAAGCATGAAATTCCACTTAAAAAAAAGTAAATAACTGAAAAATATAAATTTTGTTATGAATTCCTGATAGGAATCTTTTGATAAGAAGTGTAGAATATTGTTTAGCATTTTTTTCTCATTTCACCTTAACTCAAACAGCTTTCTAATTGATCTTTGAGTATTTTTGACTGTTAGAAATGAAATAAATAACTCCCATGAGGGTTTGCCCTTAGTGTAGGCTGTATTTTAATTTGAACCTTTGCCACAACATGTTACTTAAATGAGTTAAATGGCGTAAAGATCACCGGTGCCTTGGAGGTTTAGAGGGTGTAAGAGGAAAGCCATGTCTTGTTTCTCAATCCTGTAGGAAATGAGCAAAAGCAATACATTTCGTGGAGTGTGATGAGCGGCAGCTCAGGGCTCGTTTAGCAGCGACATCACTCTGCTCTCTGCTGGACACGCATGGACGCTTCTGCCTCCAGGCAACATGAAGCTCCAATAACTATCCAATAACTACAGGGGTGTAACTTAACATGGAAATACTGATATTTCCTATATTATGACCCAAAATGGCTAGAACAGTGATCTGAAGTGTTAATACGATTAGTGACAAGTCCTATTTTACAGGGGAATAATAGAAACACTACGAGCCACAAAACCGATTCTTTGGTTGGGCTAATATTTTCTTTTAATTTTCTATTCTCCAGTCTCAGAAGGATCCGATGCTGGTGGAGAAAATCATGAATGACCTGGACTCTAACAAAGACAACGAGGTGGATTTCAATGAGTTTGTGGTGTTGGTGGCCGCTCTGACTGTTGCCTGCAACGACTTCTTCCAAGAGCAGCAGAAGAAAAAGAAGTAGACGTCTACAGAAATAATCCGCTACCTGTAAATCTTGTCAATGTCGTGCAATTAAAAACAGAACAGTAAATGTCCCGTCAGTAGAATAAGTTATATTAGGATACCCCAAGTATGTAGCATTGTGAATGTAATACTTAGGAAATAGACACTCTACCCCAAAGTCACAATAGAAGATGTTGGTACCAAATTCAGCCTGGAGCTGTTAAACAACGACTTAGATGGGATAGATGTATAGATCTTAGATGGGAAATATGTGAATTTTAAAACCTAAAAGCTGCAATAAATGCAGGATGTGTATTATCCCATGTCTCAAGAATCACTGGTCTAAATGCAGAGCTTCTTCTGATAAAAATTAAAGTAGTGTTTATATTAGCGTTATCTTTGTTACTTGGAAATAAAAAAGGAAAATTAATATGGTGTCATTGTATTTTTTAAATAATTGTCGTCTCTCCTAGTTTTGTTTTGACGGTAAAAGAACGTCCAGGTCATTACTGACGATTAATTGAATGGCATTAACCTTTAAAAGTCATCTTTGTCATCTATAAAATGTGTCTTTAAACCTTTGTCATCATTTTTTATTCGTCCCTGTTCTAATATAAATGTCAAAAGTTAAATACTCCACACTTGTCCTTGGAGGCGTTTTCACAGCCAGATGGTGCATTTAAGAGGAGATATTTGTGTCCCTTGTCCGTCTTGCTGTCAGTCTGAGTTCCCTGAGGAGGGACACGCTTTCCCTCATGTTAGGTCATTAAAACATGCACAGCATCTCGGTGAATAGGCCAACTGTTGTGTTTACGTTTTCAGATGTTCAGTCTGTAATGTTTATAGCTTCAAAATTGTGTTTTGTTAGTTCTTTCCTTAGATATACTGATATTTTAGAAGATTTCTTTGGAAAACTTTAAAGTTCTGAGTCAGTCTTTCCAAATAACAACTTACAGTGTGTCACAAAATAATGTATTAAAATAAAAAATTTACTTGAGTAGAAGTGCTAATACCACACTGTAAAAATACTCAATTTCAATTAAAAGTACTGCATCGAGAATGGTAAAAGTATTTAAGTACGATTAGGAAAATGAACGTGTGTAAAAATACCAATTGCAGAAAAAACTTTTAAAATATTCTAAAGCAGCATATCTTCACATTTAAGAAGATGGAAATGTGAAATATGTTTCAACAAAAAACTTCTTGCTGCCAATAAATTATTAGTTAACCGACTCGTGGTTTTAGTTACTTTAATATAATGTTGGATGGTTTGATCTAGATAAAAAATAGTCATATTTTATACGTTTTTCCAAAGCATTGTGTGTCAAAATCTGAGTTTATAAAGCAACTAGTAAATACATCTTTAAAATAAATGTAGTGCAGTAAAAGTACAAAATTGGCTTCCAAAATGTAGCAGACTAGTTTAAAGTAAAGTTGTTTTGTATACATGCACATGCTTCTTATATGGTACATGCACACACAGTTGTGTTTTGTGTGCACACATGCACATACTGTGCGACTGTGGCTGTGAGGGAGTGCGGTCGTCTTTCAACCAGAAGGTTGTGGGTTCGATCCCAGCTCATGCAGTCAACATGTCGATGTATCCTTGGGCAAGATACTTAACCCTGAGTTGCTCCCGATGGCATGGCCAACGGTGTGTGAATGTGTATGCATGTTAGGTCCTAGAGTAACATACACTGCTCTGTATGAATGGTCGAACGACATGTAGTATGTAAAGCGCTTTGAGGGGTCTTAAAGACTGGATAAAGCGCTATATAAGTACAGTCCATTTATCATTTACATACAGATACAAATACACACAGTTATATATTCACACATGCACATGCACAAAGTAGTATAAAATGAATACTTGGGTAGAGTACAAGTTTCTCAAATGTGTATTCAAGCTCAGTACTTGAATAAATGTACTTTCATAAGACTCAAGATCAACTGATGGGACATCTCCTAAAAAAGGATGTTCTGGTAAAACAAAACTGATAAAAGCATCTGATTTAGGTGGGGTATTGTGTCTTTCTTGCAAGGGGTTTGTAGCCAAAAACAAGAAATGTTTTATTTTTATGCTCATCGTTTTCATGTTAAAATCGTATTCCTAAAGTACGAATATTAACTAAAGTAGAGAAACCAAGTCTCTCTGAAATGTGATAGAGTGGACGTAAACCAGTATAAAATGCAGTACTCCACTGGAGTGCATTATGAGAGTGTGCGAGGGCGTGTGCTGCTATTAGGCTTTCACTCACTGGACATTTAACAGTTTTAATGACACATGGCGGTCCCTGTACTCTCGGACCACCTGGGTCCAGGAGCGTCTGCCAATCACTCGGACATGTCTTACCCTCCGGCAGTAATGCTGATATTGTCACCTTGGGGTGGACAAAAGTGTTTGCTCAAGCTGCTGTTACTGAGGAGTTTCCTCTGTACGTGCCTTTTCCCAGAATACCCAAGCAGGCAGTTAATTTGCGATGACATTCTTAGCGTTGACATGGGGGGGGGGGGGAATTACTGAAAGCATGTGCAGTGGCAAGTGTGATGCTTTCATGTGCGCAGATGGTGCTTGCACAAACCCTCACTGTTACAATGCAATTTGTCTTTGATTGGCTGTAATCGAGCAGGATAATCAGCATATCTCCCTTGGGAAGATGCCATGCAGTAATTATGTATTTTGTCTTCCATTTTTAAAAGGTTGCAATCAATTACAAGTGTCATTTGATTATTTTAAAATGTGATTATTTATAATCTCACCCTCTACTTTCACACAGACTCTTCAAAAATAACTGTCTCCTCATTTCCTGTTACCAAACGTCTTGTTCAGGAACTGGTCTCCAGCAGAGGAGACCTTTCCCACCCATCGTATAGTTTGAGTCATATGTCGTGAGCATCTCTGGTGGTAATTGAAATCAGTATAATCATGACGTCTGCTAAGTGTGGGAGGGGGGAATTACTGGCAATTAAAAAAGGCTCAAGACAAAAGAGCTAACACCTGATGTCCACATGCAACTGTTTCCAGCATGATTCATTTGAAATATCTACAGATCAACGTCATTTGGAATAAATAGGGATAATTTGTGTTTCATGCAAACATTTGGCGGATTTTTATATCAGACAATAAATACATTAACTGGTCTGTTATTTACTGAGAAATGTGTATTCCCAGTGTCTGCTTCATGACTCCAAGAAATCAATGTTGAATAGCCATACAGAAAAGGGAAGATAAATACTTCAACTAAAAAAAACAAATAAGGAAAGTTTCATTGACCCCTCAGAAAGAAGGAGGATGATGGGAAAACGTACAATTAGACAAAGGATCAACTGGAAAGGACAGAAAAAGGCAAAATAAATAAATAAATAATTGTGTCTGTTAAACATGCCACAAACATAAAGCATAATGCCTGTAAGAGCACTATTTAGTTTTATAACTTCATGAAGTGAATAAAAAGGAAATGTCCCAAAAAAAGTAGAGTAGAAAGCAGGGACACGATGAAGAAATATGGAGATTTCCTTAATTCATTTCAGTATATATATCAACATGTATCATGTCTGTCAGGCATAGCACAGTTGTTTCCCTAGTCCAAGTGTCAATCATCCAAATCAGGCTGCTACCTGCGATAAATGTCTTATATACTCTTGTTCTGATAAAATGCTTTAAAAATATGCCTCAAGCTATTTCCCACATGCTGTCCATCCTACTGTTCGTCACTTTGTGCGTCATCGCCCTCATTAAGACTGACCTGTGTGTGTGTGTGTGTGTGTGTGTGTGTGTGTGTGTGTGTGTGTGTGTGTGTGTGTGTGTGTGTGTGTGTGTGTGTGTGTGTGGTGTGTGTGTGTGTGTGTGTGTGTGTGTGTGTGTGTGTGTGTGTGTGTGTGTGCGCGCGATGATATCGAATATGTCCTTGTGGATTAAAGCATTTTATCAGAACAAGAGTTACACAGCTGCACACCATGTTGACATGGTGTGCATAATTTATTGACATTTATTGAGCATAATGCGAGACACAAGCTTTCTATACTACAGAGTATACTTTCACAGAGTATACTTCCATGATCACTCATGAGTTATGTACTTGAACCAATGACAAATTGATTATTTTTCACCCGATTAAAATAACTCCGCTGTCACAAGGACCGTTACAGGAAAATATTCCTGCCCACTGCAATAACTCTGTACAATAAATCACCTCTGGCTGGAAGAGAACTCTGCTCCATAATTTCTCTTGGAATAAAACCATTTTGTGCATTTTACACATATATAATCTGTTCAATATTTTATATTTTATATTCCATATGTCATATTATGTATATATATATATATATATATATATATATATATTTGTATATATAATATCTACATGTATATTTTCTATTTTCTTTTCTTTCTAATCTTGTTTATTTCTAGTTTTGTTTTATTGTAAAATGCCTTGTCTTTTATGCTGCTGCAACAAAAACAATTTCCCAAATTGGGATCAATAAAGTACCATCTTATCTTATCTTATAAGGGATCACCGAAGATATTACATTTCATCTTGTGGGGGACAGCCAAAAAAGTGTGAACGTCATGGTGACGCAAGAGGAAAAGCCATTAAGGTTGATCCCATAGGCAAATACAAACAAGATCCATTGTAATCCATTAAATTGAAACAAGAAGAACAAGAAATGTCCCTAAAAGGCATCACCAAAAAATAAAGGTTCTTTAAAAAATCAGCAATGCCAGCCACTAATCAGTAAGTTAATAATCCAGAAAAGTATTAGCAAATAGAAAAGAAACATTCTAAACAAAACAAAAAAACCCTAGACAAACATTATTAGAATAACCTTTCTTAAATATGCACCGATTTAAGTTTTGCTGAAGAATTTACGAGTCATTAGTATGAAGGTATGATGTTATGAGAGGCACGGCTCTCAAAATATCGAGTGTCTGCATCCGCTTTAAGCCCCTGCTGAGCGATTGACAAAGTATTGATAATTAAGCCTTTTTGAAAGGTCAGACTCAAATGTCACGCTTGATTTTCTCAATCTGTGGAGTAAGAAAGGTTTTCAATCAAACCGTCATCAGTAAGCCTGTCAGTCGAAAACATGCGGATACATTTCAACAGTTTTGTAGTATATGACATAAAGGTGACTGATGTACAGCGTGGGAACCGGCCTTTACTTATAATGTAAAGAAAAACATATTAATTATCTATATAAAATATTTAAAAAAATGAATTATATCCTAGAGATCATGTTTTTTTAACTTATTCATTGGTGTATTCAGCAGGCTTGTTCGTCGTGGAGCTGCCTGAGTGACGTGGAACAACAGATATTCCACTATATTAGCCCATTATTTTAATGTACATTCAAATAAATAAAATGTACAAAGATTGAAATGTATGAAATATAGAACTATATAAACATGAAGAATATTTTAGAGGATAA